AGTACGGATATGCTAGAGCAGTGCTTCTTAAAGCTTTACTTACTACAGACTTGCACCCCTTCGTTTCTCAATCGTAAATAATTGTAAAATTTTAATGAACACGTAAGTTGGATGATATAATGTAAATTTCGATTTAAAGCTTTCGTGACTGCAGGGATTCATCTTCTTGGTTCTTTCGGTAAAGTCACGTAGAAGGGAAATAAATAAATAAAATAAAACATAATACAAATAAAAACAATTTATTATATGTTGTGAGAATTTTATGTTTTATTTTTCTTATTTTATTATTTCCCTTCTACGTGACTTTACCGAAAGAACCAAGTTTAGGAGCGAGACTCGGGTGCAACGGAGCGCACAATTAGATCCCATAAAAGCCACCCGCAGATTGTTATGCGTGAAAGCCGCTCGTTTCTGCAGACCCTCAAAAGTTGTTCCGAGTGACCAGGAGATTCACCAAACATCTTTACACGCGGCACCGACAGTTTGACCGTGAATTCAAATCGAGTGTCTGAGCGCCTGCCAGAGGACAGATGGAGTTAAATTTCAAACCGAGCCGGAGCGCGTAGAGGTGACCCCGTGTGAATAATGAAGTTCTCAGACATAATTCGACTTCCAAATATAAACATGTAAATAAATCACAAAATTGTCCGCAACACAAAATAAATGTTTAGAAAACGTTTATTGTTGACGCCACACACACACCACCCTGGTCGTCAGTGTATTCAATTGCGTACATATTGCAATGTGGCAGGTACAAAACATGCTCGCATCACCGCACACCACACGCGCACTCACTCCCCTTGGCTCCACTTGCGCCGTTCACTTATCGTTCTGCAGCAAGGTCTCTCGTTTTACTCATGAAAGGGGGGCGGGGGGGGGGGGGGGGCGAGTTTCTCAACGTTGCCTCCACGAATTTTCAAACAAAAATCAGTCGTGGCACGGGGCACGGGGGGGCAGGCATATAAAAAAACAACCCCCCCCCACTCGCCCTCATTTAGTTCCCTCTCAAGCGTCGTCGGCATGACGCCACATTGGCTGAACATCGAAGCCTACCGGTGCCGCGGGGGGCTGTGCGGGTCCCCGTGACGCCTCCGTGCCGCACGGACTCGTCACGTGGACCGCGCGCCGGCCCCGAGATTCTGGGGGCGCGGGGCGGTCGACAGCCTGCGGGCCTCGGAGCGAACGAGCCACGCTCTTTAATAAAAAGGGAACTGGCGGCGCTTCGCGAGACGTTGTTTGTGAACGAGTCCTCGTAGTCACCGCGTGCTGTGGCTCTTGAAATATTGTAGTTTTTATAAAATACAGAATTAAAAGAAATGGCTCTACGGTTGCATAACGCACCCGCAGTTCCCCATGAACACCTTCTGCACAACAAGAAGAAGACGATCCAGAAATAATGTTTGGTTTATTTCAAAGCGAACGAAACAGTTCCCGCTCGCTGTGTGTTTGGCAAATTCTCGTCTGCCTGGCACCCAGGGTCAGGCAAACAACTCCCGCCGAGGAGCCATCCGTGTGTCGACGACTCCCCCACACCTCTCAAACCCCAGGCTCACAAGTTGCCCCCCGTGTCATCTACCTCTGACCCGAAATCCTCACTCCCTCACCCTCCTCGACAAATCATGCAGACTGTTTCACTCCAGCATCTTCAGTTGCAAGCGCAACGAGACGCTAATAGTCCTTTGGAATCTACCGTATAAACACGCGTCAAGATCCCAGCCTGTACATTTGTTTTTTGTTATCAGACTTTTTACAATGGGGCTTTTGCTGACGTTACGAGTCACTGGCCGTGACATCCCCCAGCCTCCATACCCCCCCCCTCTCGAGGAGGGCTTTTTGTTTTTTTGGGGGGGGGGGTGGGACGTTGCACCCACCGAAGCTCGTCCCTTTGAGCGAGCTGGCGGGTGAGAATCAACAACCACGGAGTCGGCCACCAATTAAACCGCACGCAGCCAGAGATCAACAAAAGTCGCCCTCAACTGCCGCGCGTAACGGGGGGCAACGCGGGGTGAGTTTTAACAATCATCAGGTGCGTGCGGCATGTAATGACGTTTGCGTTTCAATGGGGAGGAGGAGGAGGGGGGGTGTGTGGAAGACTGGCAAACAAAGGTTTACTCTTCTGGGTTCTTTCGGTAAAGTCACGTAAAAGGGAAAAAAATAAAATAATAAAAAATAATAAAATAATTCTCACGACGTTTCGGCCACAATGCAAGCAGCCGTCCTCAGGTGAATAACAGGTCTGTCGGAAAGACAGCGTCTGAAGGGGCACCAACAAGGCTATGCACGGATATTAGCTGGGTTGAAACACCAGGTATTCATTGAGGCGAGTCGACCTAGAGGAGGCCCGGACCGGTTCAGACAATATAATCGTCAATGGTGTTTGGTGGCCGTGAGCGAGAATCGAAGTCGGGTTGTCGAGCTCGAAGCGCAGCGCACGAACCGCTACACCACCGCTCCCCCAATGAAGAACACTGCTCAAAACCCACGGAACATTTGACTCTTACCGTGCAAACAGGAACAGACGTGTCGCGAGGTTAAGAATCGAACATTCAACGTCGATGAAGCGATGCATCGTGACACCGATATTAAAGTGTTTTTTGTCGTTTGCTGTTGCCTTTGCGCATTGTGGACTACGAGCGAGTTTTGGAGCCAATTTGGGTGCAACCGAACAAATCGTCTGCGCCTGCCGGAGGAGGGCTTAGTCCTGGGGAAGACGCGATTGAATCGCACAATACTTCCAACATGAGGCTTGGCAATAGCGAGAATCTTGTAGATACAACAACCGCAACATGGCAGACACGGTAAAATAGAAAATATGCATCACAAGACAAAGATCTCCCGTGTAGCCTTAACAGACTGTTGGGGCAAGTGCTGTTAGCGAGTAGCACCTATGAAGACCGGAATGGCACACGACGGGGTGAGAGGCCAGCACCATGCCCGGCCGCCTTTGTCTCCCTAGTGGCGGTCTAACACACTGCACCAGGTACTCATGTGAGGCTAAGCAGACCTAGGGGAAGCCCAGGACCGGTTCAGATAATCGCCAATGGTGTTGCCGCATTCCTTGTGCAGCGCGCTAAGCGCGACACATATATGCGCGCGCGCGCACAACAACACCACGTCCATGTGCCTGCCTTCTATGTCAGCAGAACATTGTGAACCACAACCACCAGCGTGGCTACGATTCGTTTCAATGGGGTAACATTACTAAAAATTCTCAAATCATAAAAAGCAACACAAATCACAAACGCAGCGTGGAGTATAACACAATTATACCATCGACTACATTAACATTGGCAGCTCTCGCTTTAGAACACACGCACGCGGAATTCACCCACGGGGGGGGGGGGGGGGGGATGATATTCGATTGCATCCCACACAAGAGTAAAAACACGCCGACACAAAAGAAGATTCGAGCCCTCCCGTGGGTTGCCCTTGTTCGGAGATAACGCGGCGCCAAGATCAGAGCGCAAACGCACGGGCCGCGCATTTCCCGAGTGCTAGACGACTTTTTCTTATGGCAAGGGGTAGGGTGGGTTGGGGGGGAAACCCCAGCAACGTCTTGTGCGTGTGGATACTGAGATTATGGGGCCATTCGAGAGGCTCTCTGGCGGCTCGGTGGATTAAGGCTGGCAAGGGTCAACACTCGGTACGCAAAGGATGTAGCCCCCCCCACCACCACCACAGCGATGACGAGGTGAATGCTTCGGGCACGGTTTCGTTGTTGCAATTTACTTGTGCGTCTCGTTTCACCCACCCAAAGGCGCTCGTACTGGTTCTCTGTCTCTCGTGTGTCTGTGCATTCCACAAGTCCCGAGGGAGCACACCACAAACCAGAGGTCGCAACCGGGTACCCGATACCTGTACCCTACCCGATACCCGGCTACTCGTACCCGGCCGGGCACGGGTAGCCGTTTGAGACCCTGGTGCGGCCGGGTACGGGTAAGGAATCAAAACCCGTTTGCGACCTCTGCCACAAACTAGCACGCAATCACCAAAGAAATCCCAGGACGTCAACTCTCAGACCCACGGGTCGACTACAAAAACCCCCCCTTCGCTGCCCCCTCCTCCAGCCATGTAGCCTGAACAGACTGTTGGGGCAAGTGCTGTGAGCGAGCACCTGTGAAGGCCGGGACACGGCACACGAGGGGGTGGGTGGCCACCACCACGTCCGGCTACCTTCATCTCCCCCAATGGCAATGCTTACACACCGCACCAGGTACTCATTTTAGGCTGAGTCGACCTAGGCAAGGGGCCCAGGACCGGTTCAGATAATCGTCACCGATGTTGGCCGTGAGCGGGAATCGAACTCGGGTCGCCGGCTCCGAAGAGCAGTGCGCTCACCGCTACACGACGGCTCGCTAACACGCACACGGCACACGAGCGTGCGTTTGTGTCCTGCGCACGAGAATCTAAATTAGTCGATTAACTAAACGCGACGCGCAGCCTACACACGAGTGACACTCATCACAGGTCTCGGTGGGGGGGCAATCGATCACCCATTGCCCTCCCCCCCTTGGATCGACGCCGATGGCCGAGCACCGCGCACATGGGCCGTGTTGCACACAACGCAGTGGGGGGGGGGTCCATGAGGAGGGGGGGTGTGAGGAGGAGGAGGGGGGGGGGGCATCGGCGTCACGGCGCGGGTTTTTGACGGAAGACGAAAACTGCTTTGGCAAAGATAACTTTTGCGCCATGACACGGGTGTGTTTGAGGCAGGAATCGCATCGGATATTCTTAACGGTACCAAGAGCCAGACTCTGGACACAAACACAATGTCCAGACTGACAACCAACACGAGACAATATACTAAACTTTTTTTTATCCACTGAGCTATTTAGCTTTATTTTACAAGCGATTTGGCCACAAATGATAGCTCAACTAAGTGGCTTATCGTGTAGAAATGTGTAGCGGCCAAATACTCGAAAGGCGTGTTTCTAAATGTGGAGGGGAAAAAAACCAGAGGACACGGAGAAAAATCCACGCGGCCACGGAGAGAACTTGAAAACTCCAAATGTACAGCAGGCGTCAGGGTCGGGATCGAACCCACGATCTCCTGCGTACCAGGCGAGGTAGTTAACATCTCGCCACCGCGGTGTACAGCGTCCGTTGATTACAAGTGTAATCAATCACCTTGGCAGTTGACCACTGTTAGTGCACACGTACAGAAAGTGATATCAGATTCAATAATTGGACGAAACTCGGATAAAGATGAACGTGTACAACAAGCCCGAGTGGATGTTTGAAGCCTTATCGTCATAATTTGAGACATTCATGGATGGGAATGTCTGGATCATGTGGTGCTCACACAATGACCCACTTAACGATGCCACTACATCACAGCTTTGGCCAAAACACAGCGACGCAAACAGCACATCGAGCAGGGTTCGGTCTTATTAACTCTCACAAGCACAGCCGGGGGTGGGGGTTAAGCCTGTCGGAACCGGGGCTTGCCAGGTGTTGTAGGCGTATGGCCGAGGTGTCACCAGGAGGGGATATGACAGTACTGGGCCTTTCACCGCTGTCCTCCAAATGAAGCAAAAACCGCCATTAATGGGAACCGGCCAAACATCCTAAAGTAGCGGGACCAGCCTGATATATATTTTTTAAGACTCATTGATTCATAATAGTTTCGATTTAAAGCTTTCGTGACTGCAGGGATTCATCTTCTTGGTTCTTTCGGTAAAGTCACGTAGAAGGGAAATAATAAAATAAAAATAGACGCTGTCTTTCTGACAGACCTGTTCTTCACCTGACGGCTGCTTGCGTTGTGGCCGAAACGTCGTGAGAATTCTTTAATATTTTATTATTATTTTATTATTTCCCTTTTACGTGACTTTACCGAAAGAACCAAGAAGATTCATAATAGGTTTATTTTGGGGGTTAAATCGCGTAAATATAAAAATGTGTCGTTAAACCCGCCACCAACCGACACAGCAAATTAGTAAGTACAGCACACCAGTGTGTTGGGAGAGCCAAGCCACAACATTTACAATCTGAGCATGACGTTTCGCCAGTAATTGCAACTAGCTTCATCAGGCGACAGCCAGATTTGTGAGACTCAGGAAAAGACTCATTGAGGCTCTCAGGAAAACAACTGATGCTACTGTAGTTATTAATTAGCATAAGTTTACTGGACATCTGCGAAACAAAGATCTTTACAGGTCATCGGATTCCTCCGGTAAACAAATATTCTGACTAGAATACCGATTACTATATAACGCTTCATCTGGCCTCTCCTTTTTTTCCCCCACACAGCTCCAAACGCGCTCACAACACACACGGTGATTCTGCAACTGCCCTCCATTGCCGAGACTCTTGGAAAAGCAATTCGGCTTCGCTTTAAAACCCAAAGGGATCACAAAAACAGAAACTGCCACGTAGGACGGCAGACAAACCGCCTGCACAGCAAACGTCAGATGGCGGCGCGCACGGTGCACCGTATTTTTGTAACAGCGGCGGATCAAAGTGCTTGATGTATTCTCGGTAAACAGGAGCAGAGGTTCCAATCGTCTTGTCAGCGGCTCCTATTGGAGAGGCGGGCGGGCAGGGGGTGGGGGTAGAACCCGCAGTCTTGGAGAGGATGGCATTGATTAGGCGCAGCTTTAACACAAACGATCGTAAAAATCGTAACGGACGGCAGTGATGAACAGTGTTTGTTGCATGGCTGAGGTACGCATCAAGCATGCACGCAGACCTACAAATATGGCTGGTTTTTAGGATAAATTTTGGGATGAAACTCTTACATATATATTTTTACGACATAAATCACCAACATCCCCCCCTTTAACACGGAGGCTTCCAATATCATGATTCATACGATGGTTTTTTTGGGTCAGATGGTGGAAGTAAATTGTGTCGTAAATCCTCCACCCAACACAGCCAATTAAGTAGTCACGTGAAGAACAAACGTGCCAATTTTATGACTGCTTCAGCACACCGATGTGGTGTTTGGGAGAGCGATCCACACACATATGTAACAATTGGCTACGACGTTTCAGTGCTAGTTTACAACCGGCATGACCATGCACAGTTGACGGAATTGCAAAAAGCATCCACCTCGTAGAAGTTGATACATTTAACACACAGCGCTTTTCGTGACCAACATCATTCGTAATTGATCGTTTGTGTGTCAAACTTATATATTGGCTGCGTCGGTTGGAGGGTTCAAGACACATTCGAACTTGCGCGATCAGCCCCAAAAATCGATTATGAGTCGACGAACATCCCTCACGTATTCCTCTTTCGGTCAGCACGGGGTGGGTCACACGTGGTGCGCCAGAACGACCCGGGAGAACGGTGCGAGACCATCAACTCACAACGAGTCTCCTCTCATCTGCGATCCTATTATCCGCAGGGCCTAACAGATCTTGCAACTATTCCCAATCACCCAGCGTCGGCGCTCCTCGCCTACCCTCGAGTTAAAAGATAACAGAAAGAAAACGTGTTGCCAGTTCTTAAATTCACCTCCATTCTCCATGGCTTCCTTGGATAAGAAGAGGAGGCCTGCACGACACGGCGAGGGAGTTGGATTCACAAACCACACCCAAGTGGAGAACTCATCCCGACGTTCACGATGCTCAGGCACCACACCTGCGGCGCGCGTTGTCCCGCACGCAGAATCATTCCCGTCGCCCCGCATATTTTCCAACAACGTCGCGGTTAAGAGAAATCTTTTCTCAGACTACACCACGACTCCTCAGATCCACAATTTTGCTCATCTGCAAACGGGTCCCCCAAGTTCACTGCGGATAAGAGGCACGCAAACGTACTTGTGCGGTCGTTTCACGAGGACGCCCTTACGCAACACGTGCCAGGTGCGCCCCTTTCGTGCTGCAAGGAGCGGCTCTCTGCGCGTTCCCCCCCCCCCCCCCCCCATCGGCGATCGGTAACGTGAAGGAACGAACTCGTAAAAGGAGATGCTTATATTTTTTGTAGTCGTCGGTGCCTGGGCCGAGACTATCGGCCCACCAGCAGGGAGCAGCTGGAGTGACTGCCTGGACTCACGCCGAGGATTCCCAGCGGTGCTGGCTCAGCACGATCACGCGGCCCTCACGAGTATCCAGCCACCAGCGTCGCTAGCGCAGCTAACGCAGCACGGCCGAGACGAGGGTGAGAGCAAAGGGCTTGGACTTGGCCAACGGTTCGGGATCGTGCTCGCAGCAGGACTCGCGTTAAAGAGAGACCGGGCGTGCGAGCGTGGCACGCGCAGCGAGGGGACGGCCACGCCGCTCGTTAGCGAGAGCAGGTCGCCGGGTGGCACCATCGACGTGATCCCCGCATCGTTGGTGCCACACGGCGACCTGCGCCCGTTCGCAAGCGCTCGCCAACGAGCGCTCGTCACCGCACGGGCACCAGCGACGCGCCGCGCGCAATCTACTCGCAACGTCGTCGTCCCCGCGTAAACTATAAATACCCTGCTCTTCCGTACGCAACATAAAACGATCTCAGTGGTTATTAAATAGAGGCCAATGAACGGCTGGCGTCGGACTCACAGGTACAAAGAGGACTGACCCTATCAGCCACATAGCTGCACGTTTGCCGAAGGGACCGGAGGCTGTAGATAGGAACACACCGATGGCAGTCGACTGCTGGATATAAAAATATACGCGTTAAAAGACCCGCCTGACGCAGCAGAGACATTGCCGAAACCGAGTTTACGCTTGTGCGTTCATCTTGACCGTATCTGCTCCGAGTTATGTGCGAGGATCTGTGTTGAACGTATGATTGAACAGCTCATCAGTGTGGCTGCGAAAAAAAAAGAGGAAACTGCAAGAACAGAAGAGGGTTGTAGCCTGCGCTAAATTCTGGACCTATAAAAAAAAAACACCGGCCTGAATTAAGGAGCTACGATGGGCTGCACAGTCTGATAAAAAAAACCTGGACCGCAAATGAATAAAGAACGTGGGGAATTACAAGCAAAAGCGTTTGTTCACAGCAAGAAATCCGCCCCTAGGCAGCGGCACTCGCACTGCTAAGTGAATCCTGCACACCGCACGGGAGAGTTGTATCAGGAACACAAGGAATCACAACTCGGATTTAAACTTGCTCGGATCCGAACAGGCTTTTAAAAAAAAAAGGGGGTTGTTTGGAACCCACGGCAGGTTTTAATTAAGAGGACCCTGGCCAGCACCAGAGCTCGTTTGCCCGATGTAGGGAACTGGGGCCAACAGGGGGGGGGGGGGGGGGGGGGGGGAGCGGCACGTCGGCACATTTCCATGGCGACGCACGGCGACGCACGTCATCTTCCGGAGCGCAGGAAGTGGCCGAGTTGCAGCTGTCTTCGCTTCAGGTCCACGTGCATGAGAGATGGGGCTCGAGGGTGGCGCCAGCTTACGTTGCTGTCGCTCGAACGTCAATCTGACGTCGCGGGCGGAGGCGATTAAACGGGCGGTTCGTGCGATCGGTCCACCAACGCCTTTAGGGGGTGGAGCTCGCACACGATGTAGAAACCCGAGATTCGTTTCCCTCATGAAGGGCCACGCTTTCTTGGATGCGCAACAACAACAACAGCAACCTCGGTGCGCGATCAACGCGGTCGGCTGGCGACGCCTCGTGTGCGGTACGTTGAACCCGAAGAACAGTCTCCTTGCACGTCAGGTTTAGCTGTGCCCAGGTCAGGTCGGATATACTTAAAAGACCTGGTCCTCGCCGTGGCCCCAGTTGAACGCGGGCAACGAGAGGAGGGGGAGGAAGGAAGGGGGGGTGTTTGTGTGAATGTGACCTCGGCCTGGATGGCACCGCCCGCGCCGCGTGATCTCCGCGTCTCCGCACTGGCGGCGGTGCGGGAGACGTGACAACCGCGCACCCGGTTAGTCCGAGTCATCGTCCTCGTCGCTGTCTTCTTCACTATCCTCCTCCTCGTCCTCCTCCTCCTCGTCCTCCTCCTCCTCGTCGCCAAGGAAGGAGAAGGGCGTCGCGTTGCGGGAGCGGCCGCCGCCGCCGGAGCGAGGGGCCGCGTCGACCACCGCCAACGCCAACGTGGCGCCGTCCACCTCGATGTCCAGCGGAGAGGGCAGCCCGTCCAGCCTGCAAGCCACGCGGCCAACCACACTCCCGTCTCACCCCAACAGGCCGCACCCCGTGTCTAGCCGCGACGCAACGGCTCGGCTCCGGCACACTGGAGCCGAACGGCTCCCATGGGGTCTCGCAAGCAACATGACAGTTCCCCGTCTAACCGTAAATCAGTGTTCTTCATTGCAAGGCCCGTGGGTCACTGGCAGTCCACTGGTGGCCTTTAGCGAGGTCCGTGACGTGCGGCCCCCGACAATACACAAATGGTGAAAACACCCCCCATCATCATCCTTCTGCTGTCAAACCCCCAATGGTTTTATGTGTGTGGCGGCCCTCACACTGATGATGCCTTATCGGCAAAAGTGGCACCCCTTCTGAAAATCAGTGAACAACACGTTTTATCCCATTACAAAGAGCTCCCCCTCCTTCTGGCTCGAACGTTACCACCCCCTGTTTGTCTACGATGATGTTACCGCCTACGGGCAAATCACGCGGAATACGCCCCATCTCTGAATCTCAGCAGGGTTGAGCCTGGATAATGCTTCTCAAGCGGGAAATATGGTGCGGGCAGCGGAGGGCAGCTCAGCCAAATCAACTGTTGGACTGTACTAGGACTGCCCCCCCCCCCCGTCACAACCTGCTATACGCTCCCCTCCACCAACCTGTACTGACCAGCGTGGTGAAGTACGCCTAAGCAACCCCCTGCGTCCTGCACAACGTGGGGAGGCCTTTGTCGAGCAGAGGGATACAAAAAATTGGCTGCCCATGGTTCCCGTAAACTCGGTGCCGCCATAGCGCCACTGTGCCACGCGTGCCGTGTCAAATTGGCCAACAGCTGAGCCCACCCCTTCACTGCGACACCCAGCCTGGGGTTGTTTGTTTATATTTTACCAGATAAGGTCCATGGGGCTATATAGCGCTTTATCAGAAGCTACATGGCTATAAACGATAGCTCAACGAAGTGGCCTATTACGTGTGAAATTATAGCAGCAGTCAAAATACTCTAAACGAATGTTTCCAAATGTCTAGGGAAAAATCGGAGGACCCGGAGACAAATCCACGCGACCACGGTGAGAAAGACATGCAACCTCAAAATAGCCGGGATCGAACCCAAGCAATCCTGTTATCCAGGTGAGGTAGCTAACATCTCGCAGCGCCCAATTAAGGTTAAATACGAGCGTGGCGTCAAGCCCCGTGCCTCGCGCTCGCCGGCACGCGACAAAACCGCACACATCGACACAACCGCAGACACACTGCACAGGCAGGGCAAGCCGGGCCCTGCGAACGTTGGCTCAAACTCACCGGCCGGACGCGGCGTTCTGATCGGCCGACTCGAACTCCTGACACGCCATGTCTGCAAACGGGACAGCGGCCGGAAATACGACGTCAGGTGAGTCCGTCGGATCGGCATTCGGGTCGCGTCTCTCGCGCCACCATCGCACGCGGCCAGGTGTGGGGGCGGCGAGTGCCGTCCGTACAAGTTGTCGAGTCCGGCCACACGCTGGTGGTGGTGGTCGCTTTACGCCAGTATTCCTTGCCATTGACCATTCCACCCACCCGACAAGACTCTCACGTTCACAAGGATATAATTTGTACATGCGGAAGTGTCGATCAAATTCGGATTGAAAAAATTAACCCGTAAAAACTAAGTTTTTCACTATAAATCCTTTATAAGCGTGGCGGCTAGAGTCCGCTCGTCCTCTGGCTTGAGATGGCTGCCACCTATGGGTCAGATGATTGCCTGCCACCATTAAGCAATTGGTAATTAAATATAAAAAAAAATTCCTAAAAAGTGTAAAGTTATGGAAAAAAATTTTCACGAAAATAAATTGTCACGCACAACGAGTCTGTGTGCAAAATGTCAGCTCGATTGGATCACGGGAAGTGGGTTAAAAAACGACCGAAAGATTTGCATGGTCGTAAGCGCGCAAGCAAGCAAGTGAACTTAATATAAAGGATTTTAAAAAGGCCCTTCCTCCCTCCTCACGTCTCGCGACTGGATTCAATGTCTAACGACGCTTCGCTCAAACTGCTCCGAGCTTCACCAGGATGCGATCTCAGGAATCGGGCAATTTCCGTTTCCAGAGCTACCTTGGTTGCCCAGGCGCGTGTGCCGGTGAATAAAGGCTTCTGTAGAATTAAGTCGCGCGAGTGATTTCAACGCCTTTTTCCCCTCCCTCGCTCTCGATATGTACGTATGCACGTTGAACGATACGCTACGGGAACTGCGAGGTCAACTGCTATGAATGTGCCAGTAGTTCCACAATTTTCGGTCGTACGTTTCACACACTTTGAAGACACGGGTATTCATCAGTGTAATCACGAAGTGACTTGCTTTTTTTTTATTTGCGTCAACCGATTATGACTGCGATTTACGGAGAGACAATTTGTACCCGTATTTCTTGTTGACGAGGGGAAAAAAAACGCTCATGAAACAACGCAGCGTCGGACGTGCTCGGACAAAATGACGCACGCGGTGAGGGTGGAGTCCGGGGGAACAGAGTGGGGTGGCGAGGCGAGGGGAGGATCGGGAGTCGTACCGCGCACGAACGGCTGCAGGGCCTTGGGCACGAGGAGGCGCGCACGCTCCATGTTCTCGGGCGAGCACGTCCCCGTCTCCAGGCCGAACGTGAGCCCCATGCGCTTGAGGACCTCAACGTCGTCGTGGATCTCAAACGCGTTGTCAAAGTTGAAGAGGTACTCGAACCTGCACAGATGGATGGACAAATGGGGAGGGAGTGGAGGGAAGCAGCCTGGGTGAGACGCGTGCCCCACCACACTCACCCCTAGGCCTGTGCACCCATTCACCCGCCGCACCGACCAGCTGACCCGGTCACCAGACCACCAACTCGTCCGGCCGCCTGCTCGGCCATCAGGCACAGCAGCTCACCCACGCGCAGTCCCCCCACCCAACCACGAACACACGTGCCCACGCACGTGTCCGTTACGTGCATAGCGATTCTCCCCCAGTGAGTCTATGACGGGCGAGCGGGCGGCTGTAGCGGCGAGTTGACCGCCAGCGTGAGCACGTGTGGAGTGTCTAGGGGACGGCTGCTCCCAGAGCGCCGGCTCCCACGGCGGTCACTCACTTGTCGCTGGAGATGCTGCAGTCGATGACGGTCTTCTTGCTCGTGTTGATGATGATGAACGGCAGGTGGATGGCAGTGTTGTGTGCGGGCCCCCGCTTCGTCACTTTCTCCATCTCCTGGTTCCTCTGCACCAGGTTCTTGAAGGCGATTTGCTACGCGTCACAACAACTAAATTTAACTTACATAAAAAACTATCAGTGCATGGATGTATGTTGAACTTCTATTGCACATCATCACCATCACCTCCATCAACATCCCCCACTTCCTCATCATGCAGGTACCTCAACATCACCACCATCAACATCATCACCTCATCACCACCATCTTCATGTATGGTGAACTTCTTTTGCACCGAACGTAACCAACTGTACTAATCGGAGGTGCCGATGGAAGGACAACAAACTAAACACAAAACGAAAAAAAATATGACGCTCCTGTCACTTGGGTCACATTTTGTTTAAAAAAATGTAATGGTGATTTTAAGACCACAATGCACTTCTTCAGGAAATTCTGACGGTGTTTGGCATAATGCCCAAACGGGCCATGTGCATTTCAAACATTTTCATGCACCGTTCCAGCCTTCACGCAATTATCCTGCCATCGACAGAGGACAAGACTATCCCCAGTCACACCCTGCACCAGGCCTACATGGAATCACCTGCAGGATCAACTCATGCAGCTGGGACTGCTTCTGCTTGATCCTCTCCATCTTCCTCTGCCTCTCCCGCTGCGGAGACAGCAGAAGCAGCACAAACATTACCAACGTACCCACATGAACGTCATCAACGCACCCGCACGAACGCTACCAACGTACCGCACAACGCCGGCTATTTGAGGCTCCTCACAATCCAGCACCCCGCCCCCCCCACCACCACATGACAGTTCAATGGAATTGTCACGGTCTGGGATTTCAATTTGATTTAACACCGATGAGTGCCAGATTAACTTAGACACTACAAAGACCTCGCCCCACCCTATCCGTGTAGCCCTTAAGAGTCTGTTGGGACAAGTGCAATGAGCGCCCGCACGGCACACGAGGGGGGGGGGTGTGTGGCCAGCTAGGGGAGGCCCAGGACCGGTTCAGATAATCGTCATCGATGTTGGCCGTGGGTGGGTTCGTAGCGTGCTCCCCATACTTACGAGCAGTGGGCCACAGACGTAAAACAAGGGGATGAAAAATGAATACAGAAGTGCTGCAAGAGAGAGATACGAGAGAGGAGGCGTATTCAGGACAACCATTCGACTGAAATTAGAAGTATTCAGAAAGTGAGAACGACGGACGTATTTAGAACAGAGACATAAGTGAGATACGAGACACGTATTCAGAAGAGAAAGAGAGACACCAAATAGTTCTGTGAAACGCCCAGATAATCCAGGGGTGGCGACTCCACAAAACTTCTCTCCTTCACAAGACCACGCTCACCCAAAACCTCCGTTTCCTGCTGTGATGCCGCGAGTGGCGAGCGGGACCCGGGACCCGATTCTCCCGGCGGCAGCGACGACGCTGCCGATTGTGTCCAAGTACGTACGTCTAAACTTCTCTCGCACCGTTCACAACCAACCACGCTAATCGGAGGTGCGTCCACGCACTCGCGCCGGGTTTACCTCCAGGTTTTGGCATTCCTGCGCCGAGTTGGTGGGCAGCCCGATCCAGCGAATCTCCTTCTTCTCCTTCGAGATGATGTTCATGGCCATGAGGACGTTCAGGGCGTCGTACACGCGCCTACGGATGTTCTTCTGGTCGTACGTCTGGTCGGGCGGAATCAAAACGCGCGTGACTTAACGGCGAGACGCGAATCGCCCTCGTGCGTCCTTCGAGCTGACGATGCGGGTCTCTGCCACCCGGCGACGCGCAGGAACGCAGGCGTCATGAGGCACTTGCCTTCAGGACAGCGAGACAGCTAATCGATGAGCACGCTCCAATTTACAAATGGCCTAAACCCGATAATCCACTTCACCGTGGTGACCCGGGGGACTTTCTGCCCAGCATTTCAGAATCTGCCGACCACCTCAAATATTGATTTATTTTTGTACGTAAACAAACGTGGTGAAGACCGGGGGGGGAGGGGAAGGGGGGTGGGGGGGTGCTAGCCGTGGACACCATAATCCCAAGAGGTGCCTCACCACGGCATAACCGAAACCACAAGCGCCCGCGTCCGAGCGCGGCGTGCTGAGGCGGCGTTTTTTTGTTTACAAGTTTCTCCTGTCACTGCGACACCGCCAGTCGGCACACGCCCGCCGTGCAAATTACGTAACCACGCACGGAGCGTTCATTGCACAAGGGGTAAAATGTGCGCATGTCGGCACCACGATCATAGCCATTTGCGGCTCTGTGAGATAATACACCGCCAGGAGATGGACTATCCCCACGTCGTGTCGATCGTGGGCTTGTTTCGACCATACTTCACCACGTTGGCCGGTATAGATTGGTGAAAATGGGGGAGGGGTAGGAGTGGTGGAGAGGGGTGGGGGGTGGGAACCAGCACCAGTTTAGCATCCACTCGCCACTGATGTTTACCATGACCAGGAATTGAACCCAGGTCGCCGGGTTCAAACAGTAGTATTATAAATTTCGATTTAAAGCTATAAGCACTAGCCCCTCAATATTCATAATTTCCTTTATTTACCCACACAAGCTTCACTGAAGCTCAACGACATTTTGTTTTTCAGTTGGGTTCCTGCATTGGGAATGTTTGGGCCAATTATAATCGCAAGCGTTTTGGCTTCCGGGATGAAGCCCCGAGTATCCGGAGAAAATCCATAAAAAGGGTGGCGAACCCGAAAAGCTCCAGAGAGACAGGTTTAGGAATCCATTCGCTGTGACCACCATCGAACTGCCCCCAGCAGGGTTTGCGAGCTTCACAAAGACGCCCGATCCACCAACGCCTTGCTTCTAAAGCGGCAGGCCACCAGCCAGTTCTGGAATGTGACTCATTCAACACTCATTCTTTCAAAAGTCACCTTTTGCCCCTCGCCTCCGATTAGCATGGTTGGTGAGGTACGACAGCGAAAGAAGTTGACCGTACATACATTCGTACTTTTCTAAAGTCACTGCAATGAACTCAAGACTCGCGTTAAAATTTTTTGTTGTTGTACGTTCAGCGCCCGTGTCACGGGCTCGCCGTGTTTACTGCGATATAGAAATCACCGCTATTATTATGACAGTTGCTACAATTATCAACTATTTTTATATATTTTACCAGGTAAGGCCCACCGAGGTATGAGCTATTTTTCATAAGCAACCCGGCCACAAATGACAGCACCTCAATGAAGTGGCTTATCATCATGTGAAAATTGACAGCAGCCACAACTCTAAACGCGTGACGTCGATTCTAAATATCGAGGGAAAAACCGGAGGACCCGGAGAAAAATCCACACGACCACAGCAAGAGATGGACATGCAAATCCCAAATATACAGCAGGCGTCAGTGGTCGGGATATAACCCCTGACCCTCCTGTATACCAGGTGAGGGCGCATAGCTCCAATGGCTTCATATAATAAAAACCGGAGGAGCCGGAGACAAATCCAGGGTGGGGGGGAGGGTGTCTGTCAGCTGAGTGCTACGAGGACTGGGGGGGGGGGGGGGGGGTCGACTCACCCCGGCGGCGGCCGCCAGTCGTGCGCTGCTGGTGATCTCGCCCACGAGCTCGTCGGCCACCTCGTTGTACGACGTCGTGCCCTTCTGCTGCACCTTCTCGCACACCTTCATTGAGAAGTGGCGCAGGCCCTTGCCGTTCTTGTCTCCCTTGCGGCCCTTGCTGCACACGCGCCGAGGGACAGGACGGGTCGTACGAACTATACGTTGGGACTTCTTTCGCGCCGTACGTAGCCAACCGTGCAAATCGGAGGTGCCGGGGTAAGGACAACAAACTAGACACAAGAAGCACTTCTAAAGAAAAGTTTGCAATCCAGCTGATTTAAAAGTGCATAGCTCCAGTGGCTTCCTAATATCGGAAGGAAGAGCGTTCCGGATGGTTGCATCATCAACATCACCACCATCATCACCTCCATCAACATCCCCCACTTCCTCATTATGCATATTCCTCCTTAACATCGCACGATCAACATCACCACCAACATGCAAGTATGTTGAACTTCTTTCGCACCGTACGTAGCCGACCGTGTTAATCGGGGGATAACAAACTAAACACAAAAAGCAGTTACAAAAAAAATGAGTTTTCTATAGCTCCAGTGGCTTCCTCATATCGGAAGAGCGTTCCAGATGGCCGCAGAAGCGCACCTGAAAGGGTGCGATGTGGTGACCGTCCCTGTTCGATGGTTAGCTACAAGCCGGTCCCTGACGAGATGAGCAGGGTATTGTGGTTCATTTGTGGCAAGCACGGTGTGTGTAATGGAGTGCGACCTTGTTTGTAATGTTTTCGTTCGGCAACCGGAAGCGAATGCAGCTCAGTGAGCACTGGACGGACATGGTCGAATCTTGCAGTATCCGTCACGACGGTGGGGGGGGGGGGGGAGATGACGGGCTCGCTTTGATCCATGTACCGTTTGAGATCAAATCTCGTCGGGACAATCGCACGTGAAACGGAGGAAACGAACAGAACTCCGTACATTCCATCGGGTACGTGCACCCAGCCGATTTCATCGCTCCCGCTTCGCGGTGCGACGTATTCTCGAACGCGTTCCCTACTTTGGCTCCCACTCACTCATTAGTCTGGACTGTCGACCATCACCCATCGCAGCGGCTCGTCCCGCCTAAACCCCGCTTGCTTTCCCTGAACGTGAACACGATGACTCTGCCTTGCGCACGCATTCTTTACTCGGTTCACTTGCGAAGCTTGCGCCTCTCCGCGTACTTTTCACGCCCAACTCGACGCGTCTACCTATAACGTAGCGCCATCGATTTTAATGAACGAACCGAAACACCGACACACAACCCGCCGAGAACAGTTGCCGATCGGTGGACACCGGGCGTTGACTTAAGATGAAAATGCATTCCATATTCGGAGATGGTTCACAAACAACAAGCACATCCATAAACCCCAAGGCCCTCCTCTCTCTCTCTCTCTCTGATGCTCGCAGACTGTCCGGGACGCTGGTAAACGTCGTACACGTTTATATTAATAGTCGTATTTCGTTCCGCCGCGCGGGCTCGGGTTTCACTCGAGCTATTCACGAGCACTCAAAATAGCCGATTCAGGTCTTCCACAGCAATGTTGCAATGCAACATTGCTGCCACTGCCAACTTGGCTAGGGGGGAGGGCAAAAAGGCCATGGCAAAAACAGAGATAGAAAAATAAACGCGGCTCTCTCCGCGATGCCACGCCAAATAACAAACACGCACGTGGTACGGCCCCGGGTGGCGGCACAGCTCCAGGGTGGGGTGTGGGGGCCCGGCGGCATCGGCCTTGGGAAGCAAGCGAGCCCGCTACTTTTGAGGGCACAGGTTCGAGCCCCGGGTTCCGGGCGTCCTCTCGGGGAGCCAATGTCCGGCGTTGGGGAGGCGCCGAGACAGCGAATAAATTCCGGCGTCGTCGCGTGATCCTCCCCTCCCTCACCCCCCCCCCCCCACCCGCCGATTCGGCGCGTCGGCAACAATTCGCGCCCGCCTTGCGATTCGAGTCGGGACATTTCAGTCTCGTGTTCGCCGTCTCATTTGTATTGTTTCCTTAACATTCCGGCTCACTTATAGAGATTTGTTTGCTCCGCTATCCTTTGTACAAGTCGCACGGCCGCTTCCTTCAGCGCGAGGCCATCTTGTGGTGACAGATGGGACGGAGGTGCGTGCGCATGTAGTTTAACTTCTTTCGCATCGTCCGAAACCAACCGTGCTATTCGGAGGTGTTTTAACTTCATAGGTGCTCAAGAACAGCACTTCCCCCCAAAAGTCTGTTAAGGCTATCAGGGGGATCTCGGTCTTGGTTAACGGTACAGGAGGATGTAGAGCTGATTGGACTTGCTGATGACTGGTACCAGCAGTGTCAAGATGGGCCTATGTAGGAGGACCATGAAGGACACTACTGGGCAGTTGGGGGCAGCTGCCCTCCAGCAACAGCGGAGGGATGAGGAGCGACAGTCACAACAACGAGCGGAGTCAACCCATGGCAGCTGGATCTGTCCTGTGACCGCCTTCCAGTTGTGAGCCTTAGACACTTCACGTGGCCTCTAGTTAGACCTAGCCTGGCACAAGCGTCGCGGTGCCATCGCCTGCCACTTAGCGGCGAGTGACGGTTGTCATCGTCGCTGTTGTTGCGTTCACGTGTGGCCAGGCAAAAGGTTGGTGAAAGTCCGATCGGCCCTCGGTAAGGGAACGGGTTCCACACGCCTGTTGTGACTTAAGCGCGGGGGACACACACGAATCTCGAATACAGACGCGTGCGGAGCCGAGCTGGCGGGAGCGGCCCTGCCGGTTTTGCCCTTTGCTTGAGTTTGATTTTCCACTCACGTAACCGCCGACGACGCAGCCAGCGCCCGGTGCCAGGGACTCAGCGGCACTGCTCCATTCTTGCGCCCGCCCCATACAGGCAGACAATAGCGAGTTGGCCGGAACAATGCTTCTGAATAATAAGCAGATTTTTTTTTTTGGCCCTTAATAAAAAAGCGCGCGCTTTTCGTCAGCATGGCTGTAACCGTGGAAACGATCTCTGTTCTGTCTTTGAGTGGAAGCTTAAAGAACTTTGGGTGGGGGAGGGGGGCGGGGATGAGAACACTGGGTCTGCTAGCGGGCAGCAAAACCTAACCAAGCGTAGCGGTGATTGAAATGAAGACGCTGGAAAGAATCTGAAGCAGAAGATGCAACGGACGTCAACGGGGGATAACATGCAGAAGGCTGTCTTGCTACGGCGGTGGTTATGTCAGAAAAGACTGATGGGAGTGGAGCAGGAGGCACGGAAAGGAATGATAAAGACATCCTCAGCAGTTGCGATACGCAAACGATAATTATTATGATGGTGACGATGATGACAGTGATGATTACTCATCGGAGGAGAGCAGCCGCTGCCAGATGTTTATTGACCCAGTGGCCATACGGGAAGAGGAACGGAGATTCCAGTCGTGTTGAGAACGGCTTTAGCATCAACAAATATCCCTGGATTAGGACAAACATCCATGGCTGTTTACATATTCGTATTTATTTAGCTTTTTGTCGTTTTGGTGAGCCGGGTTGCTCTTGCAAAATGAGACTCATCGCTGGTCTCTTGAGTTCTGGACCTGGTGAAACATCAACTTAACTTAAAAAGGATTCGGTAGTTGGTATCAAGGCCGACTTGTAACTTAACAGTTTGTTGGGTAAATTGACGCTGAAAGTTTCTGCGCGGGCGCCCGAAAAGAACGTGCTCGACGAGTGCACAACTTGCCGACTGCGATAGATCGTGGAAGCTGGACAAAGATAGCACGGAGGGGCGCGTGCGTAGAATTGTGTTGAGAGACAGAAAGGGGAGCACGTGTGGATCGGAGGAACAAATGCATATCGGAGACGTCGTCTCAACTGTCGGCGGAGGCAAGCGGGATTGGCCAAAGCACACGGCAAGAAGCGATGGTGGAAAGACGCAAGAGGCCGGCTACGGAATGGCGTTTTGACGGTCCTCCAACGGCTGGAAATTCCACATTCCTACGATGGGGGGGGATCAATGCGTACAACAGCACAGCGTCGTCTGTTGACATGTCGGCAAGTGGCGTTCGTATTGGGGCCCTGTTGTTGCCCTTGGCCGGGGTTTGAACTCACAATCTCCCGGGGTTGGGAGGCCCCGCTGGCGGTCCCACACACTGGGCCGTAACGTGGCCAATTTGTATTCATGCAGCACCGAGCGCCGCGCACATAGAGGCCAGATAAATAAACAAAGAGCGATGGCCTCATTCATCTTGCGGTGCGTTGTTCTACGCGTGGCAACAGTTGGCAATCCCACGATTCACCCCCCTCCACCTCCGGCGATTCAACAAACGGTCTAAAGTTCGATTCAACCATCGATACTTCTCTGGTTCCGTACTTCTCTCGCACCTCCGATTAGCACGGTTGGCTACGTACGGTGATAAAGTGTTCCACGTGTGAAGTCACTGGCCTAAATGGAAGCAAGTAACAATGTTATCAGCCATGATCTATCCGCTGCTGGACAAAGCCTTCCACACACCGACGGCATCGCCGCGCAGTCCCTCGATGCTGCCAAACTCTCTCAACAAGCAGATCTCATCGCTCCATCTCCACCGTGGCCGCCCCCCCTCTCAGGCGTCTTTCTCTGCTCTCGGCCGTCGCCATCGTCTGTCCTCACCAGGAACTCTCTCCCATGAGGTCGCGGGAATCTCCGAGCCCGTTGACGCTTTTAAAGCTCGTCTTAAAAGTGATCTCTATACATGCTGCTAAACGTTTAGCCAATTCAGCAAATTGATTTTAGGATTTATTTCATGATTTTGAGATTTCTCGGTTTTTAGCTGAATGAGTTATTTATTGTCCATGTTGAGTGTCTGTCGCTGTGTCGTGTGCAGTCCTTTGAGATCTTTGATGAACGGCGTATTGTAAACATAATTATTATTATCTATCGGCAATCGGCATTCGAGCGACATGTCCTGCCCAAGCCCACTTAGCTTTCCTCAAAAGTCAATTTGTAAGAATCAAGGAATCTCTAAATTCCCGATAATTCATGATACCTTGTTTACTAACACTTTGGAAACGCATGCCCCCAAAAATGCAATTTGCTGTTCCGCTGACTGATGCGGAGCGCAAAGTTCCAGACAAGGGGGCTTTTTGTTCAGCAAAGGGCCCCCAAAGTCACTCACGCAACCAGAGCCGTGTGTTCGATGGGGCTTGGCAGGCCCCAGAGGGCCCATCGGAGCTCAATTATTCAAATATATTGTATTTACACCACATGCCAACACACAACACGCGAATGCACGCATCTACACGCCAAGTGAATAAAAAAAAAACGCGTTTCCACTTTGCTTGATCAAGGCGAGCGCTGTTCGTCGCGAGGGACATATTATTAAAGCCTGGCACGATGCACACAATGTCCATTGCCACATGACCCGGACTTGCACCTGATCTCGCGAGACCTTGGAAGCTTAGAAGCAGGGTTGATGAGCCCGGGTCGTGTGCTCAGACAGACGGCCAGCATGCACGTCAGGTTGTCATAGGTTGTGTCTGCAGGACTGTGTAACGTGGTGGTCAGCAGAGGGCAGTGTAGTTCAACCCAGTGGTCAGTGTTGCGCTGCCCTTCTGTACCTGCTCGCGTACGCTCCCTTGTCTGACCAGCGAGCGTGGCGGTCAAGTACGGAGAGGGAGCCACGCTTCAGGGACAAAGGTCGGGGCGGGGGATCAACTACGAATTGCGAAAGCACAAAACCTGCTGGGCAACGCGGGGGCCATGAAAGTAAGGCAACAGATTCTTGAATCTGGAACTTGCTTGCTCCCTGTGGTTTTGTTCTCCAGGCTCTCCCACACACGGAAAACACCCATGAACGGAACTCGCCAAACATTCCAATGGCAGGACCCTCATGAAGAAGAGTCTTGAGATTCAACGAGGCTTTTTAAATTAAAGGGCAAAGTTATTCACTTCTTATTCGATGAGCAAAAATGCTCAACCATCTTAATACAGAATTAATGCCATTTACCACCAAAATTGGCCACCAAAAATCTGGCTTTGCATCAAAGCGTTTTTGCTCCGTGCTCCTGTTTGACTAGTTAGAACCACTAAGAGAACTGGGGCCATCTGTATCATCTCGCGTGGAACACGGAGGTGGGGGGGGGATTTCAAACTGACCAATAAAAAAATATATAAAATGCTTAGAAAAATGTGGTTGAGCAGTACACGGCCGTGTCTGTTTAATCATCGCGTTCAAGCAACGCAATAACTACCGTGTTCGCCTCCGGCTTATGGTCGTGAAATTGGTACCCGCATGGTGCGTCGCAACTCTGTGGACGTTCTAACTGTACCGCTATACAACACACTATGCACGAAAAAAGCATTGAGGAAACGTGACTCAACGGACAAATGTAACCGCGGCTTAAAGCGGCAACGATTCCGCACAGGAGGCATTCTGTAAACGTGTTTGACGCGCGCTGTCAAAGTGCGCAGACTCTGACCTCTGCTGGCCACATGGTAACGATGCATCCCTCGCAACTGACCACAGGTTCACAAACGGAGCGTGCATCGGTGGCTGCGATGCTTTGCCTCCCACCTCCTCGCGGTGCAAATTAATCGTTGGGACTCACGATTCGGCCAACGATTGGGTTGATTTTTTTCCTTACACACTTTGGTGAAAGACGCAGCCTCTAGTGGCTGTTGTTACTCTGGGTCCTCCAGTTGTGTCCCACGCGGTTTTCACAAAGAGTTGGCCAATTCCTTCCCACTATGGGGACCGATCTGAGACGGTGTCCTGAGACTCAACGAGAGGCTCTCCTGGGTAAAGGAAGGGCATCACCATTATTATTATCATCGAATATTTAGCGCAGCTTTAGAAACTCTAATCATGGGTAAACTAAATTATTTTGTGATACTGCAGTGTTTGTATGTTGAACTTCTTTCGCACCGTACAGAGCCAACCACACTAATAGGTGTATTCTCTTTGTTTTTTTGGTAAAGTCACGTAGTAAAAAATGAAATGAAAAAACAACTGAATTAAATTCGGAGGCAACGCAAGTTTCCATCTTCATGTGTTGCCTCCGAAACGTCGTGATTTAATTCAGTTGTTATTCATTTATTTTTATTTTATTATTTAACTACGTGACTTTACCGAAAAAACCAAAGAGTATGAATCCTTGCAGTCACGAAAACTTCAAATCTAGAAGGAGGTGCATTAGCAGTGGTGCACAAACAAAAATAACAAAAAACCCAACACGTCCGTCAACAAGACTGTGGCCTTTAAAGGAAAAAATATTTCCCTGTTGACGTTTCGGGCAATGGCCCCTTCTTCAGAGCGCATAACAGAGAGGAAACAAAGAGGAAACAGAGTGGACAATAAGCATTGGAGACTGCACTTAACACCATGGGGGGGCCTGATAATTACATTGTAAATAATCGTGGGGAGCTGCCTGAAATTAACCGGATCACCATGAGCAGTGTTGGCAGAGTGCTCCTCCAACACACAGACCCCAAGCTGACCACCACTCATAGGTGGAGGAGACATCGTGGCGGCGATGTCAACCTGCATCCACCGACGTTGCCGCCTGAAAACAACACCCGCCAGGTCGCTGCCGTTCACGACAAACGTGTGCTGTAGGTTTGATCCTTCATTCCGTCTCATCGTCGTTGGTTCTGTTTTTACGTGCTCCAAATGCCAGTGTGTGAAAGCAGGACAATCGACCTTGGGGGCATCATCACCACCATCATCGTAGTCGTCATCAACACCATCATCATCATTAGCACAACCGCCATCATCAGCGTCATAATTGTTATCATTGCCATCCTTCCCTCAATGTCCCAAGTGTGGAGTGCGTTCATATAGGGGAGGAGGAGTGGGATCATCTGTGAAAAGGAGCTTGATAGCTCATCGGATATCTCCAGGATAAAGATTTCGATTCCGAGCCAATGAGCTGAGAAGCGGGAACAAATGAGGGTTCATGATGATGGTTATGGCAGTGGATGGTGACAATGACAATTCCAGTTCTCTTGTTAATGTACCTGGCCAAGAGCACTTGAGAGTCGGAGAATGTGGTGGATGTCATGGGAACGGAGGTAGGGGGGGGGGATGTGCCCAGTGGTGGTGGCGTAGCAGTTAGTGCGCTGCCAACACCAGTGATGATTATCTGAACCAGTCATGGGCCTCCCCAAGGTCGACTAAGCCTCAAATTAATACCTGGTGCGGTGTTTAAACATCGTCACTGGGGAGAAAAAGGCGGCCGGGCGTGGTGCTGACCACCCACCCCCTCGTGTGCCGTTTCGGCCTTCATAGGTGTTACTCGCTCACAGCACTTGCCCCAACAGTTTGTTCAGGCTACACTGGGGAGGGAGGTGGGGGGATGAGAAGCCCTCCTGCCCGGTGTGGTGAGTGCATTGGGACGAGGATGGTACCCGGACCATGTTGGTGGGCTGTCCAGGGGGCGCATCTGCGTGTGCTGCGCTTGCTGCCCGTGCTGCCCGTGCTGGTTGCCCATCAGCACTGCGCCAGCCATGGCAGCGTTGCGCTGGGGAGTGCCCAGCAACTGCAGGGGAGGAGAGAGAGAGAGAACGAGAGGGGAGAAGTGCCGCACAGCAACGGACAGGCGGATGTCAGCCGTCGGCTCTCAGTCGTGCCATCGGACTCAGATGCCGGACGTGTGGCGATCGAGTCAGGTTGACCTTGTTTAGCCAGGTGACCAGGGGGATATTCCCCAAACGCAATATTAACCCGGGTCATCTAAACGACGGTTCACCCGATTCTCATGACAGCGATGCGCGTGTGGAGGTGTTCGTGAGAATTGGTACGCCAGAATTTGCACGAATTATATGCGAATTATGGGAGAATGTTACATATGCTGACGTTAGCCTATTAGCAACGTGACGTGCGGAGTGGAAAAACCCACTCTTGTTCCCTACCTCTACAATGCCACATCCATGCTCCCCACATTCCCTAACTCGCACTGACCAGCGTGGCGGTGTACGGTCAATAACCCCTTCAACCAGCACGGTGCAGGAAGGCGCTCATCCAGCAGTGGATAGACACAACGTGTTGCACATAATTGGTTCACGCGACCCAAGTAAGCCCCGAGAAGCACTACAGCCGATGACAGTGTAAAGAAAATAATTGCTTCTTGAACTAAACCGCGACGAACGAATCGCGAAGTAGGCGAATCGGAACTTCACATATATACTGGGGACATTGTGCAAATCGAAACCGTGCACGATGTCGCACTGGTCCGAGTGAGCGCGGGGCACCTTTCACGCGACTTCTGATAGCGGAGCGCAGTTTGAACGTTTTCGTGCGCGGAGCGAGAAAGGCTTCCACAGATGACGTGGAGTAGCCACGGAGGAACACCGCTCGGGTATGGCCAGTTCTATGTCATGGGGACGGATGAACAGATCTCGGGACGGTGCTCCGAGGGGCACGAAGCTTCTCCGTGGCCCGAGGTTGAAAGCAGCGCGAATAAATGTGGTGGTTGATCGTGAGAGATGGCAGTTCTCGTTTTTGTGGCACCTGTTCCAGCCGGTGGACATTCGACGTTCTCACGTCACTCCGCTCGTTGTTGTTAGCGTCGCTCATCTGCCCTCAGCTGTTGCTGGAGGGCAACTGCCCCCCAACTGCCCAGTAGTGTCCTTCACGAGCCTCCTCCACAATAGGCTGATCTTAACTCCGATGGTACTAGTCATGGGCAAGTGCGCTCAGCTCCACATCCTCCAGGTGTTACAATGGGCGTCATGCCCATTGTGCACGCGCACCATGCGTCGCTTATTCAAACATGCTTCCCTGTTCACGCAAATGCGACCAACCGCCAGCGCGTTTCAACATTCCGAGGCCTTAAGCACAGTGAGTTTGCGCTCTTAGTCAGCGCTACGCTTGGCACCCACATCTCCCCCCCCCCCCACCCGGTCCGTCCCACGTGTGGCGCCAGCATTCGTTGGGGTCCGGCGCAACGCCGCCTCCGCCGTTAGTGACAAGGTCCCACAAAGCCAGCGCTCATCCGTGGACAGCAGCCCTCTGTGTTTGCATGTCCAAGAATCTTTCCCACTCAGACTGCAAGCCAGGGTTTTTCATAGAGAGCTGTGTTACTCTGAGAAGTTAATAATAGGTATTTTTTCCAGCCTGCCTTCTTACGTACATGGCTATATACATTTCACAAAGTAATTAAAAGAAAGACACATATTTCACTCATATTGCAGTGTGGCAGTCAAGCAGTGATTAGCAGCACACTGCACGATGGATCTAGTAAGAAGAGTTCGATCCCTGGCCACGTCAAACATCGGCAGAGACCTCACACCGACCCACAATGCCCAGCGATGTCAGCGTACCTGCTGTGCAGTTGCGACGTCTCTATTGAGATACACACGGAACGCACAAAAACGGCCACACACACACAAATGCATTTTCCCTGTATAAAACGATAGTGGGTTGCACCATTGCTGTGCTGCTATCTTTTGGAGCTCTATGCAGAGGAAATCGTCTCTATCCACTAGAGGGCAATAAAGAGCAATAAAGGCCACCATGGGGTAATCTTTTGTATGTACAGTAGATGATAATTGGTTTTTAACCCTTTCATCTGGCAACAAAACTGACACCTTTTTTACGAGGAGTCATGTTTGCATAGACCACAATACCTGCAGTCATAATGCAAACAAAAAACACAACTCTGATAATGTATGCACTGTCCTTGAAGTTGATTGGTCCTAAAAAAGTTGTCAGTTTTGTGGCCAGATAAAAGGTTAAAAAACCAATTATCATATTTTTTACTGGCAAATGAGGTACCAATGGTGTACAGTAGATGTTAACTACCTCGCCTGGTTTGCAGGAGCTCGTGGGTTCGATCCCGACCATGACGGCTGTATATTTGGAGTGTGCATGTGCTCCCCGTAGTCACATTTATAATCAACGTCCATTCAGAGTATTTGGCTGCTAAAGATTTCCACATGATGACAAGCGACATTGTTGAGCTATCATTTGTGGCCAGGTCACTTCTGAAAAGAACTATATAGCTCGGTGAGCCTTACCTGGTAAAATAAATAAAATAGTTTAGTACGTTGAACTTCTTTCGCACTGTACATAGACAACCACTTAACAAGTTGTCAAAATGACACACACCTTACACACACACATTTAGTCAATCCACGACTGGATAAATACCTCCCCACGCTGCATTGGTCATCGGGGGTTGTTTGACCATACTTCACCATGTTGGTCAATTCCCGGTCAGTGAAAGTCAGGCTCAACACCGGTTCAGATATTACTCGGCACCGATGATAGCCTGGTCCGGAAGTAGAACTCGGGATAAATAAACACCCGAAAAGGGGACCCCCTTTGATGTGCAGCACCACTCCCAGCCATTAATAAGCAACATTGATCGTTGAGTTTGATTTGAATAAAAATAGCATCGAATTTAGATTGAATTGATGGGTTTGCCAGCTTGTTTCGACACATGACCTCAACCACGGAACAAGTACAGGAGCAATCATTCCGCTAATGTGCACAAAAATAAGGTTTTGTACAGCTTTGTAAAAAAAAAACTAAAAGTATTTTTAACCGATGCCAGGGGACAGCAGTCATCCATAAACACCCACCTCCCTTAAGAGAAAAACTTTGCCCAGTAAGCATCCAACCCAGGCTGCACAAGCATGTTTGAGTGATTGTAATTGTAAGGCTCCCATATCAAGGTACGTTATTAAAACATATTTAAAACTTTTTACATCTTCTGCCCGAGTTTCACGTTACCCATTCTTGAGCGTCCCTGCTTGGGCTGTTTGGAAGATTCCATTGTAAGGAGTGTTTGACATGTGGGAGTACTCTGGAGACAGCCCATTCATAGCAGGGGGTGACGCTCAAAGCTTCACACAGATAGATTGAACAATCCAAATAAAGGTTATGTTTTTGCTTAGGTCGCGTAAATATAAATGTGCCATCAACCTGCCACCACCCGACACAGCCAATTAGTAAGCTGTCACGTAAACGAAGTGTCCCAATTAGTTCCATCAGCACACTGGTGTGTTGGAGAGTAAACCCACAACATTTACAATTCGAGTACAACGTTTCGCTGGCGATTACAACCAGCTTCACCAGGCGATTTGCAAGATTTGTGAAGAAGTCTTCCTGTTTCGGCCTTATTTATCTAACCCCAAAAAACCCCGTTGATGATGGACAACATTGGTCGCGAAAGCCTACGTATGAAACAGATTCAACAAGACATACTTCCCTGTTGCCATCTCATGGCTGACTGGCAGCGCGCTAGAGAAACGGTTTAATTACGGGAATCAAACCCCAAGGATGCCAAGGGTGCTGGCTTGGTGCTCTAACCACGGTGCCACCTCCACTGCACACCCATTATTTTATCAAGCAAGCCGGGAACGTTATCAGAAAACCATTGCACAGTCATAAAAAGTGAATTTGCAAGCGTTGCTCAAATACAAGGCCGACTTCCTTTGGGTTGATAAAGTAATGTCGAGTAACCCCGATGACCTGTACGGTGTGGGGGAGGGCCTGGTTATGCCAGGCTTGATCCAGCAGTGGACTGGCAATATCAATGTACACACAAACACGAAATATCTGCCAACATCACCATCATCGTCGTCGTCAACCTTCTACTCCGATTAGCACGGTTGGCTACATACGGCGCGAATAAAGTTCAACATAGATACATAAAAGATCCCTGTACGCGATTCCGCTCACGTCTCGGGAAATGAGTAGAACGACAGAGACACGTGTGTGTAAGGGGAACGCAGAGGGCTGCTGAAGCCGTGAGGTTTTGCTGAACGTGCAAGTGCTTACCGCCGACAGAGCAGCTGGCCCCAGTGCCATAACCGACTGAGAGGAAACCGTTGTAATTGTGGGCATTTGCCAAGTGCCGAATGAACGGATGTTTGTAACCGGCGAAACCTCCGCATTTACTTGTCGATTTCGAAATGAACCGCGTACACATCTTGCGAGTTGTCTGCCGACTTTCTGATGGTCGCTTAATGTTGCACTGCACGACTCTTTAGCACTTCCGAGAAACGTTATCACAGATCCTGTACATGGTCCCTCTCATTTGCCTACATTTTCCGTCGCAATATTTTCGTTTGTTTCTGCACGTATCCACACGCACTTGTGAAAAATACTTTACGGATACGTTCCATACTTGCTCTCGAAAGCAGCCCAGCATTGCGTCTGCGTGTTGTGTGTGTGCGTGTGTTGTGGGGAGCGGTAGTGTAGCTGCGCTACGAACCCAGCGACTCGAGTTTGATTCCTGCTAACGGCCAACAACAGTGACGATTATCTGAACCGACCCTGGGCCTCCCCTAGATCGACTAAGCCTCAAATGAGGACCTGGTGAGGTGTGTAAAATCGCTGCAGAGACAAAGGCGTTCAGGCAGTGGTGCTGGCCACCCACCCCCTCGTGCACCATGCCGGCCTTCATAGGTGCTCGCTAACAGCACTTGCCCCAATAGTCTGTTAGGGCTATATGGTGGGGGGGATCTTTGTGTATTGTATGCATGTGTGTTGAACTGTGGTGAATGTTTAACCCTTCCGTTGGCAGCCCTT